GATGAGCAGGGAAGGGGCAGGCGCCTGGGAGCAGACACGGATGGAAAGGACGGCCAGGGCGGCCAGCACAGTCCTGGGCACCCTCAGAGCCGCTCGGGAGGGAGCCTCGACAGCGCCGGGGGCACTGCTTAGCCTCCAGACCAGGACGCGACCCTGGAGCCCACAGAGCCGAGTTCAGATTCAGACTCTGCCAACACGTGACTTTGCCTGAGCCTCAGTTTCTCCCTTAAAAAAAATCACCTCCCCTCCCCTCCCCAAAATTGTCCCTGCCTCCCACAGCCGTGGGGAGTGACACGTCCCCTAGACAGAAATGTCCAACCCAGAACATGGCACCCAGCAGGTCCTCAAGAGACAGGAGCTGCTGTCCCACGGCTGGCCCCGTGGGAGCCCGGACAGGCCCTGGGGGCGCCTCGGCCCGCGTGGGGCAGGCCAGGACAGCCTCACTGATTCGCTCCAGCTGGGGGTGGGGGTGGGGGTGCCTCTGACTCCACTAAAAGCCACAATTAGAGCCCAATTTCAAGAAACGCTGGGTTAGTTCCTCCCTGGACAGATGTGATTATAGGCTCAGAGTTAGAGCGTTACTAACAGGATGACACAGGGGCCTGGCCGGGCACGGCCGGGTGACCAGCCCAGCCCCCATGACACATGGGGGGGAAAATGAGGCCCAAAGAGCAGGGGCCGGGCTCCAGCCCACCATCAGGTGAAGGCCCCCTCTCGCTCTCTGAAAGCCCCTCCGTGGCACCTAGGCCCAGAGGGACCTCGGAGGAGGCTAGGGCTCAGCTGGTGGCAGCCCCGAGGGGAAAGGGGGACGCAGGCCCTGGAGCCGGCCAGCTGCCCTCCCCGCCCTCTAGGGGCCTTGACCTGACAATCAGCAGCAGCAGTAGCAGCTGACCCCCCTCCAGAGCACTTGGGGCTGGTGTCCCTGCAGAATCGCAGAGGGAGGGACCAGCCTTCGTCCCGCTTTAGGGCTGGGTAAACTGAGGCACGGGACTGCCCAAGGTCATGCTGGGAGCCAATGGCCCGGCTGGCCTGGGGACAGGTGTTCCCGGTGGGAGTGGCCACCCTTCAGCAGGAGGCGCGGATGTGGGGGATGCACCTCAGTGAATGGAGCCACCACCCCGCGAGTGAAGGAGGACAATGAATGAAGAAGCCCAAGAACGCGGCCCCCGGAGGATGTGACAGGGCCACAGGCCCAGATGCCACCCCACCTGGGAAAAGCCCTGAGGTGAGTGAACCACAGGATAAAGGTCCAAATCTCACCTCCCCAGACTCTGGTCCCCAACTTTCTGGGCCTCCGGAGTCCCCCAGCTCGTCCAAATGCACCAGCTCTGAGCTGCGCCTCCTTGGCCTGTCCCTGCTGCGCAGTGCCAGCCATCCCTCCAGAAGCCAAGGTCACCCTGCCCTAGGTCCCCCTCCGTCTGCACCGTGGTCCAGCCAGCGCTCCAAGAGAGACTGGGGAGAGGACAGAGGAGGAGGGGACCGCCCCGACCCGTCCTTTTCCTCCTCTCTACAGCTCCCTTTAGGGAGCCCCGAGGGTGGAGGCAGTGCAGCCCCCCCTGGCCCCCGGGAGCTTGGGAGTGGGGTTCCACAGCCTCATGCTGGCCAGGTGCCCCCCCAAGCCCAGGGGACTGGACGGGCTGGAGGCTTTTTATTTATTCAAGAAGCACGAAGGAAGCTCCTACTGTGCGCCACCCCAAGCGTCCAGCAGAGCGCATGGACCCTCCCTTCTGCTGCCTCTGACTTTGCCGAGAAGGAGACTGTGTTTGGGTGCCATGCACCCCGCACCTTGTTCCTAAGGACCCTCCCCACTCCTAGGAAATTGAGCTCCCTGTGGGCGGGACCTGTGCCTCCCCCCTCCGACTAGGATTTTCCCAGGGCCTGGAGTGTCCCCCCGTCAGACTGGCCTAGAGAACTCACTGTCCCCGGGAAGCCTCCCCTCACTCCTAGAGCCTCCCTGGACTGGGGGTGCCAGGTAAAACACAGGACGCCCAGTTCAATCTGAATGTCAAATAAACATCTTTTACTATAAGTATGTCTCAAATATTGCATGAGGTATACTTAAAACTAAAAACGATTCCTTGTTTATCTGACATTCAAATTGAACTGGGCACCTTGTGTTTGGGTGTAGCGCCTGGCAGCCCAACCTCTGGAGCTATTTCTCCTGCTGGCTGGCACCTGGCCTGGCCAGATGGCCCAGGTCGTGCCTGGACTTGGCCCCTGCCTGCCCGGTTATAGCTGCTGTCGGCCCCAGGATGGCCGCCCTCCCCCACGGGCCCCACCTGCAGCCCTCGCCCCCGTGGACACCACCCCCACACCTGGTCTGGCCTGCACCGCCCAGCTCGCGGCCCCTCAGGAATGCTGCGTCCAGCCTCCCGGGGCCCAGGGGGAGGTGCAGAGACACCACAAGCATCAGAGACTGAGAGGGGCAGAGACACTGAATAAAGGGGTGCAGAAACCAGGAAGTGCAGACCGGGGAGAGGCCCAGACAGAGGCAGGGGAGGGCCCTGAGAGCCACCAGGCGGACCCTGGTGGACTGAGGCAGAAGGGAGCCTGGACCCCTGGAACCCCACAGCTTGGGGGCTCCCGCACGGGTAGGCAGAAGGGGGAGCCCATTCCGAGCCCCTCCCAGGGGCACACACTGGGACATTCACGGCTTCCCAGAAGGGCCCATGGGGCAGCCAGAGTGGCTTTTAAAATTAGCCTTGCTAACCAGATTTGGTTATTTCAGGAGGCTCCGTCCTGGGCTGTCCCCTTGGTAGGGCAGGCACGGGAAGGAGGGAGGGACCTCAACATTCCAGGGTTCCTGGCTGAGCACCCCCTGTGGCCTGAGCAGTAGAGAACGTCCAGGTCCCAGTCCCCTGGCACTAGGCCAGCCTGGGCCTGTGGCCATCTCTTTGGCAAAGTGCCCTGGGGTTGGACGTGGACGTCCAGGGGTGCCCCAGCTGCAGGGTAGGGGGGACCCTTGGGTTCTGTGCCAGGCAAAGAGCCTTAGCAGTTTGACAGCCTGTTTGTGCAGCAGGTAGGCCCTGACCTGGGCCGCAGGTGAGAAACAGACTTGGAGAAGCAGGAGGCCCAGCTGAGCCGCGGAGATGGGGCCGGTCAGGCTGCAGGTGCCCCCGCTGTCCTCCTATGGGAGAGCCCCCCCCAGCCTCTGGAGGACTTTCCACCACAGGGTTGTCTCTCCACTTCCCGGAGCCCAGCGCCCCCCGCCCAAGCCCTAATTCCAGCCTCGGGTCAGTGTCCTGGCTCGCCCTCCCCACCTCCGAGCCCAGGGCGGGCGCAGAGCTGGCACCGGCACAAGAGAAACAGTGCCGGACACTTTGATCCCAGAGGCCAGGACCGTCCTCAGCCTCCCCCGGCCCCACCTTGGAGCCCTGGGGGTGGGACCTGGGCTGGACCCTGGCCTAGAGGCCCTCCCTTTCCGCAGACAGGGTCTGGCACAGCCGGGGAAGGAGGGGGCCTGGGCAGGTGGCCAAGCCCCCCACCTGCTCTGCCACAAGGGGCCCCAGCTGCTCCATCTCAGCCTGGGGAGGGCCACGCGGCTGAGTGAAAGGTGCTTAAGGATGTCGCCCCAATGAGGCCGGGACGCCGAGGCTCAGGGAAGTACCTGGTGGCTGTCCATTCCCAAAGCCAGGCTGGGCTGGGCTCTGCCCAGTTACCTCTTGGAAGGTAGCTGATCACCCCGTGGAGGGCCACTACCCACCCCGTGAGCGGAGCAATACGCTGAGGTCAGAACCGCTCACACCCAGGGCTGGGGGGCAGCACTGGAGGACCCTCAGCATCCCTGCCGTCCAGAGGAGGAGACGGAGGAGACGGAGGCGCGGCCCAGGGGCCTCCAGGAGATGCCCGGAGGCTGCTCTGGGAGGGGGCAGGTCCCAGGGGACCACCAAGCCCAGAGCAGCCCGGGGCCAAACCAGCTCGTGGGGCTGGGGTTGGGTGTGAGTCAGCCCCAGGGTGGTCTGAGGCTCCGGGGTCCTGGTAGGATCCTGTCAGGAGAGGACGGCACTCCCCAGGGAGCCCCCAGGGTGCCCTCAGCCCCCTCACCCTGGGGAGGAGATGGGAGCAGGGGAGGGGGCTGCCAAGCTGTCAGGGAGGCCCAGCGGCTGACCTCACTGGTTCCACTCAGTGCCCCCCCCCAAGGCCAATGCCTCCCAGGCCACCCTGAAGCCTGCTCTTGCATCCAAGCCCAGGGGAGACCCTCGCCCACCCCACCCCTACGCTGAACCCCTGGAGCCGCACCTGGCTCTCCGTCCAGACCTCATGCCTCCTAGCCCCTTCCAGCCTGCCCACTGTGCTCCTGGCCACCCCTGTCCCCAACAGCCCCCTTGCCCTCTCCTCCCTCCTCTGACCTGCCCAGACTCCAGCGGCACCCACGGCCAAGTTCTAGGGCTCCTGGCTGCCCTGGGCATACAGCCCTGGTTCCTGGCCTGGCATTCAAGGCCATGCAGCCTCTGGCCTCATCCCTGCCCATCTCCCTGTCCCCTCCATCACCAATTCCCAATTCCAGGTGCCACTGCCCTCAGGCTCACACAGGCAGCTCCCTCCCCATCCCCACTCTCCCACGCCTCCCTCCCTTTCTTCTAGGGCCGGACACTGGGAGCACCTGCCTCAGGGACTGACCCACTCATCCCCCTCCCGCCCAGCCAGCCGGGTTAGCTATCCCTTGGTGCCCCCTGGTGGCCAGAACAGGGAAGTTCTTAGGATTTCCTGAGCCGGGAAAGGAGCGATCTTTAACGGAGCCCTTGCTGTGTGCCTGGCGTTTGTGTACACCAGCCCGCTGAATCCTCATAACCAGCCCTGGCAGGGGGAGCGTCCTGCTGCTTCTACGATATGGAAATAAAAAGAAGCTGGTGGTCACAGACCCTCTGGTTTGGCCTTGGAGGGGTGCCCGGACCCAGCAGCTCTGCCGGGGACAGGCCTGCCCCTTCTACCTCGGAAACACTGGACATCCGCTTTGCTGTCGGCCTGGCGGGTCACACAAAGCCAGGCCCAACTCCAGGTACAATAGCGATAAATAGAATTTATTTTGTACAATGTCACTGACATACACACAGCCACTGGGGCTTCCAAAGTGGGTGGTGGCCGGAGGCTGGCCTTTGGCGTGGCACCTAAAAGTGTGGACAGACACACGGGGACAGGGACTCACAGCAGCTGTGCCTGGCTGACCCCTCCATAGCAGTGGGCGGGGGGTGGCCAGCCCGCAGCTCCAGGCCAGCTGAGACCCCTCAGCCTTGGGTGCCCAGGAGCGCAGGACAGCGGGGGTTAAGCTGGGCCGCAGGAGCCAGGTGCCCCCGACACGGGGTCACTTTTCTGTCACGTGTAGGCAGTGGACAGGGCATCAGCAGATCTGTGGCCAGGCTGAGGCTCCAGGAGGGGCAATGGGCACGCCACCTCCCTGCCATTAGCCACCGGGGGCCTCAGGGACCTCAAGAAGCAGATTAGTGTGATGGGACGTTCTGGGGGACACACTCCCCCTTCTGATGCAGGTGGTGGGACCAGTCTTCAGTGACCTCTGAAATAATCGTGTCCAGTTGTAGCCCAGAGAAGGTGAGTGACTTGCCCAGTGTCACACAGCCAAACCCCCATCAGGAGCCAGGACTCCCAGCCAGCGCCCACTCCACACGTCTCGTGTCCTGCCGCCTACCTGGTAGGCTCTGTGTGCACTGACCTCTCCCAATCTGCCTCTCCCACCCTGCCCCCCCTAAGTCCAGGGGGGCACCCAGGGGTGACAGAGACCCAGGGGGGAGGCTAGCTAGACCTGCAGTCCTGCTTCACTGACCAATCCCTGGCCAAGCCCAGACCTCCAGCCTGGGGGACAGGATGGTGCCAGCAGCTTCCCGGCCCAGGTCTGGATGGCTCCGCCCTGCAGAGACAGCCCAGGGGGGTGGGCCGAGGGGGGGCTGGGAGGCCGGGCAGCTCCAGGGCCAGCGGCCTTGAGGGCAGAGGTCCCAGCTGCCTGGCTTGACACAGAATCTTCACCTTGTGCTTCTGTGGCCTCATCTGCAGGGAAAAGGGGGGCAGAGACATCATGATGCGGAGCCCCAGGCTCTGGGTCCCCGGCCCAGCTCCTTCCTGCTCCACCAGCTCCTCCAGCACCTCCTCGGGGGAGGCCAGGGGCCCACAGACCCGCCACAGAGGTAGGGAAACGGAGGCAGAGGAGCCGGCCCGGGGCGCGTCCCCACTGGGGACAGCTGGCTCTCACAGAGACGCCTTCCCCTCCCTCCAGGCGGGAGCTGCTGACCTGCTTAGCGGCACCTTCCTGGCGGGCGGCTAACAGCCCTGCACACGCGGTGGCCGTGGAGAGAGGTGGCAGCACAGACGGAGCCGAGGGCAGGAGACACAGGAAGCAGAGTCACTGGCTGTGCTCAGGCTCGTGGGCCCAAGCCCTCCTGGCCTCTGGGTCCCCTGAGAACCCCACCCCAACTAGTCCCCTCCCGGCGGGATGTCCCCCAGGGTGGGCCTCATACCAGCTGCGGCAGGTGCTGCTCAGACGTTTCCAGCTGGATCTTGATCTCGGGACATGCAGGGTCCCCCGACTTGCCGGCGTCTGGGTGGGGTGACCGTGAGGGGCCTGGGGAGGGGGGCAGGAGGGAGCCACCTCACTGGCCGCGGGGAGGCACCAGGGAGACGGGGCATGGGTGGGCGGTCGGCACCGGTGCTGCCCAACACCGCCAAGTCCCTCCCTGAGGGGACCCCCACCCCTAATCCACCCCCACTGTCCTCAGAGGCTGATCCAGGAAGCTACCAGCCTCCAATCCGTGTCGGGATAGTCACATGCCTGCCACCTGGGGCGGGGGAATGCACCCACACTCTGTTCCCCACCCCCACCCGAGTGGCCCTGCCCGGGGGGCTGCCCGGCCGGTACCTGGGGAGCTGCCCCCGCTGGTCGTACTGATGCTGTCCTCCAGCCACGTGCTGTAGAGGAACGAGTCCCGCTTGTGGGGTGTCCCTGAGGACGAGACGCTGTCCTGGGGACAAGGGGAGGAAGGTCAGCCCCATGGGCAAGAGGGACAGGGAACTGGGGCAGGGGCAGCAATGTCGGCCCCCGCGGAGCCACCGGCCAGGCCTGGGCCACCCTCTCCACGCTCGGACTTCTCCACCAGGCCACAGCACGAAGCAGGAAGCAGCCGGTCCTGGGGTCCAGGAGGCACGCCAGGCCCACGGGACCCCACAGGGGACCCCGGACTGCCTGGCTCCCCGCAGCCCCTGGAGCAGGGCCAGCAAGGCACAGGGGGCCGCTAACGGGGGGCTGGAGAAGGGGGGCAGCCCGGGGGCTGTGAGGCCGGGGCCCTGGGAGGGAACAGGGTGCCGGGAGGAGGCCGCCCAGGCGGGGACGGCCCGAGTCAGCAGGGCCTCGAGGGAAGAGGGCTCCAGGGAGAAGTGGCAGGGCACCGGCTGGCAGTGGCCTGCCCGGCACGTGTGGGGGCTGCAGAGCAGCCTGGAAGGTGTGAGGTGGTGAAAGAGAGGGGCAGGAGGCCAGGCCACCGACCGCGCAGGCGGGGCTCCCGGGCGGCACTGGGCGGCCAGCCCTGCCCTGCCGAGCTAGGTCCCCTGATCACCTCTCGGCCCTGAGCATCTCCAGGGTCCCCCTCCTGTCCCCTCCCATGGCGGCAGAGCACCCAGCCCCAGGGTCTCACCAGGCCCGTGTCCTCCCCGTCCCCGCCCTCCGTCTCCTCCACCACGCTGGCGAAGCTGCTGGCGCTGGACGAGGAGCGGGAGAAGTCCTTCAGAGCGTCTGCTCTCTGGGCTGCGGTCTCCGCCCTGGCACAGAAGCCCCCGTTAGCCACACCCCCGGAGCAGGCCGGGCACGGTCACTGCGGCACAGGGAGGCCCCGCCTGGAGCGGCCAAGTGCCTCAGTGGCCTCCGAGAGAGCTCCTGGGCCCCGGGCTCCCAGTGCAGCCCCCAACTGTCCTTCCTGGTGCATGGAGCTGACCAGGTCCCCCCTGCTCCACGTCAGTCTCCTGGCTCACCAGTGTCCCCGGACAGCCCCACGCCTGGACTTGGTGTTCGATGGCAGTAGTGCTTAACTGTCACACGGCCACACACAGCATGCTCACAGGGCAGGCGTGGACCAGCACGGTGACCCAATCTCCCTCAGCTGGACCCATCTCCAGATGAGGAGAGGCCGTGGGGGGGCGTGTGGCTGGGGGACAGCGACCTGGCCCAGGCACCACGGCCTGCTCCCCGACCCTCGCTGCCTGTTGCCCTGGGTCCCCGGCCTGCAGTCTCACTCCTTGGCTCAGACCCCAGGGAATCTGACTCCCAGACATCAGCCTCTGGCCTGGTCTGGCTCCTGCCACTCCTCTTGAGCCAGCAGAACCCAGCCCAGAGGGACTCAGCCTGTGCACATGGAGAGAGCAGCCCCCTCTGGCCTCCCTGCTCCTGGGCCTGTCCCGCCAGCCCCTTCTCCAGACAGCACCATGGACGGGGCTCTCTCACGAGAATCTTCTAAAGGCTCCTATTCCTCTCAGATCAGATTCAAAGCTCTCATTCAGGCTTAGCCCTCTGCCCTCTTTCCTGTCACCCAGCACAGCCCCTCACTTGCTTGGCTCCAGCTGCATACTACCCTTCCTTGCAGGTATCCAGCATGCCTCAGGGCCTTTGCACTTGCTGGGCTCCTCGCTGGAGACCCTCTGCTCTCTGTCAGGCAGGCCAGACCTAGCCAGGCAGACTCCTCGCTCCGCTCTCAATTCAGATGCCACCCCTGGGAGAGGTCTCCCCTGGAGAGCCACGGAGAACACTCCGACCCCAGCCATGATGGAGGGCACACCCCCTGACTGGGCTGTCAGGAACGGCTTGTTCCAGTACCTTGCCGAGGTGGGGGCTGGCCCCGTGCACAGGGTGCTCAGTGGGTGTGTCAGAGGGTGCCCAGGCCTCCCTGATGCCTCGTGGCAGTGTCGGGGCTCCTGGGCAGCCCAAGGCCCAGGATGTGAAAGGGCCACCCCCAAGCCCCGGCTTGGCGGCCAGAGCCCAACCTGTTCTTGGTGGTGGGCATCTCCGGGGAGCTCTGGGTGGACGAGTTCTCCGACTTGGGCTCCTGGGACACGTGCCCGCTGTCCGGGGTCTTCTGGCCAGCCGGAGGGCTCTCCCTGCGGGGCACACGGGGGCAGCGGGGGGGTTCAGCGCCAGGCCTGGCATTGGGGTAGAACGAGGCCCAGGCGGTGAGCGGGGGTCGGAGCGCCTCCCGCCTTCGCCCACCCGCCTTCCAGGGCCACGTCATCCCGCGCACACCGTGGCCAGCGACGGGGAGGGCACCGTGCAGCGCCACACAACGGGACTTCTCCCAAGTTCTCCTCTACATGGGAGGGAGCATAATGGTCCCCGTGACAGATAGGGAAACTGGGCCTGAGAGACGGAAAGGGACCCGGGCTTTATAGCATTCTGAACGTTGGTGGCAGTGAGGACAGTGTTGGCTCCATTCTTGGAATGCTCTTGGTGCCCCTAACCCCCGCTTCATAGTCACAGCATGGAACCCTCACAGCAGCCCCCTGCTATTGGCTGTTTTCTTATCCCAGTTTTTCAGATTAGAATCATGAAGTTCAGAGAAGTACAGTGACTTGCCCTAGGTCACACAGCCCCGGGATAGTGGAAACAGGCTCATACCAGCAGATTCTCTGCTGTCCTGGGGCAGCTCTGCTCCAGGCCTACATGGCCCACAGGCATGCAGGAGGCCCCACACGCCCGTGCCTGCCCAGACCAGCACCGGCCCCTCTCCACCTAGGCAGCAGTGGAAAACCCAGGTGCTGGTCCCAGACAGGGCTCAATCCCAGCTGCCCTGGGCTGGCCCTGTGACCTGGGTGAGCCCCTTGACCCTCTGACCCACAGCCTCCTGATCTGCAGGGCGCGGGCCCCCAGGGAGCCGGTATGCTGCCCAGGTCACGGAGGCACTTCCCGTGGCTCCTGTTTGCCACTGGGCAGGGGTCAGAGCAGCTCAGGGGACAGGGCGCTCCTGCCGCGCCACCCACCTCTTCTCCTGCACCTCCTGGATGTTCTCGATCCCGATGGCGCTGCTGCGGCGGGAGCCAAACGGGCCCGACTTCTTCCTTGTGGGGCTCTTCCCAGGGACAATGAGTGACTGTGGGGAGAGGCCCCAACTCAGTGCCCACCTGCCCTGGGGGCCCCAGGGCCCCCCGCTTCCCCCTGGGCCCTGCCGCCCACCCCCGCCCCCCTGAAGCAGAGGTAATGAGCAAAAAAGGAGAGAAGACGTGCGTTCGGAGGCAGCCCCTAGTTCAGACAGGAAAACAGGCCCAGAGAGGGCCAGGGCCTCTCTGCGTCCACACAGCAGGGATCTTGGTCCAGGAGAAGGGCAGGGCCCTGAGGGGCTGGGGCAGCCATGCTGGGCGGGGAGGGGAGGAGACCAAGTCATCAGAATGGCCACCGTCCTGCTCCCTGGGCTTCATGGGACCTACAGCTCGGGGACAGGTGGTGACTGTGAGGTAGCAACCCCTGCCCCCCAGAGAGGCTCTGGCCCAGCAGCTGAAAGACCCCATCTGCACCCACCACGGGGCAGGCAGGAGGTGGCCCTGAGGCGCGGAGGGAGGGACCCCCCAGGGCAGCAGGTGGAGGAGCGGGTCAGGGCGGGGGAGGAGCGGCACTCCATGCAGAACCAGCGATATTGGGGGACGTGCATCTGGCAGGGGGGCCTGGGCACCAGACCCCGGCAGGGACTGGGCAGAGCCAGGAGCCCCTGGAAAGGGCCCCTGGCTCTGGCCCAGGTGCCAGCCCCCAGAGAGGTGTTGAGTGCCCTCAGCGCTGCTGGCATCCCGTCCCGCACGCCCTTGGGCCTCTCCCAGGGTAAGGGGGCAACGTCCCCAATATGGCCTCCGTCCCGAGAGTGAGCAGTGGACAGCGCGTGCAGGCAGCCTCCAGAGCCGCGGCCCGCGGGCGACAACCTCCTCCACGGTTCCTATGCCTATGGCACTGCCCCGGCGTCCGAATCTACTCGCGCTTTTCCCAGGAATAAGCAATGACTGGCAAGCAGCAGAGGGCGGGGCAGAGACGGCGAGGGACAGAGACGGCGAGGGAGGGGACAGAGAGCAAAGGGGAGACCGAGGTGGGAGACGCGGAGACAGGGAGGCACGAGGCGGAGGAGACAGAAAGAGATGGGGCCCAGGGGAGGGGGCACAGCAGCAGGACAGAGATGGCCCAGGGAGCGAGGGGCAGAGACCCATGGGAGAAGGCAGGGGTGAGGGGAGAGGGAGGGCGTGAGGAGTGAGCAAGGGAGGGGAGAGGAGCAAACGACGGGCAAGAGAAGGAAGAGGCGGGGAGGCAGGGAGGCCGAGGGAGGCCGAGGGAACAGGAAAGAGGGGAGACGGGAGAAAAACAGAGACAAGAAAGTGGAGGGAGAGGAAGTAACATAAAGAGAAGAGAGTTGTGCAAAAACAAAAACAGAAATGGGTCTGGTTACTGCCATGGTGGGTGCCGCTGGCCTGTCCCTGTCCCCGGGGTCCCTCGGAGGCCACCCACAGGAGGCTGGGCCACTCCAGTAGGGAGGAAGGGAGTGGCTGGAGAACCTGGGTTGGGGGAGGCTGGGCCACTTCCTCGGATGACAGTGGTGAGCTTGGTGACTCTTGGGCAGCAGAGGCCTTACCTAGCTCCCCAGCTAGATCAGCCCACAGGGCAGGTGTGGGTGGGCCCTGCCACACAACAGCCTCGAAGCACTGAGCACAGGGCTTGGCATGCAGAAGACAGGGGCAGGTGGTGGCTGACGGAGGGATGGTGGGTGAACAGACAGGTGGGTGGGCAGGTGGATATGTGGGCATGTGGGTAGATGAATGGGCAAAGGAGTGGGTGGACGGATAGGTAGGCAGAGGAGTGGACTGGTGGGTGGGTGAATGGGTGCGTGGACAGATATGTAGACAGGTGGGTAGAGGAGTGGTGGATGGGTGGGTGGGTGAATAGATAGGTGGATGGGTGGGTGGGTATGCAGACAGGTGGATGGGTGGGTAGGTATGTAGACAGGTGGGTGGGTGGATGGATGGATAGGTAGATGGATGGGAGGGTTAACAGGAGGAGGGGTGGATGGATGGATGGAGTGTGGAGAGGTGAGAGCAGTGAGTGCAGTGTCCCGGGAGGCCAGGAGGTGGCGCAAAGCAGCTAGGCCCCCACGCAGACAAGTTTCTCCTGCCCACGGCACTCCCCGGAGTGAGGGGCCAGCTCTCACAGGGTCTGGCAGACAGTCAGGAGGGGCTCGCTCAGAAGGCGTCCACACAGAAGTCCAGTTCCTGACACACATTAGGTAGCCACAGCCACAGAGGCCCAGGCTGCTGCAGACACACAGTAGGAGGTGCCACAGAGGAAATGCCCACATAGCAGCCGGCTTCCTGACACACAGTAGGTGTTCACTGATTTCCCAGGCTCTGTACACATCATATGCTCACACAACAGCCCAGGTCCTGACACACAGTAGGTGCTCACACACCAGCCCAGGGCTGGCCACACAAACTCAGGACCAGGCCCACATGGGTGCTCACAGAGTGCATGTCTACACAGCAACGCAGGTCCTGACACACAGTGGGTGCCCACAGCCTGACACACAGTAGGTGCTCCCAGAAACCCAGGCTGAACAGTAGGTGCCCACACAGCAGCCCAGTTCCCAGCACACACAGACAGTAGGTACTCAATAAGGATGGGACACAGAGACTGCCCAGGAGCTGACCTGCAGAAAGTCACACCTAAATAAAGGGCCAAAGAGCTGGGGAAGGGGCTGCAGGCTCTTAGCACCCAGGTCCTGGCAGGAGCACTTGCCCCCCGTGGAAAGCAGTGGTCAGACCAAGTCCAGAGCCCAGGGTGGGCATGTGGACAGCAAGGCCAGGGAGCGAGGTGGGCCAGACTTCAGGGGCACTGAGGGCCCTGGGAGGGGCAGGGGAGGGTGGGGACACTCACTATTCCAGCAGCCTTGGCCAGATCAGGGTTGTTGGGTGCAAAGCTCCCACTGTGGCTGGTGGACACGGTGTTGGGCTTCTTGTTGCTTAGCCCCATGGCATCCATGGACTGGCTCCGGCTCCGGATGACCCGCTACGAAGGCGAGAGTGGGTGTGGAGGAGGCATAGGGGAAGCCCAGGCATCTAGTCCTTCCCTATTGATACCTCCCTGGTGACCTAGGAAGTCCCATCCCATCTCCTTGTGAGTTCTAGGTGTCTTTATATGCCACCCAAGAGGCAGGTACGCATAGTGCATAAGTTTGGGCCTGGCTCTGTCACCAGCTTGCTGGGCAGCCTTGGGCATGTCACACTACCTCTCTGAGCTGCACAGGCTGCTGTGTGCTGGGTCTCAGGCAGTTGTAGGAACAGGAGAAATGTTGAGTCATAATGAAATGTGCACAGAACCCTCCAGAAACCTGTTTCTTGCCCTTTTTTTTTGGGGGGGGGGTGTCTCTGAGATCTCCTTTCTCCTTCCTTCCTCCCTCCCTTCTCGTTTATTCCAGACAGTCTACACTGAGTGCTCCCTGGGGGACCAGATGCTTTACATTGACCCTGCTGCTCAGTGCCCCCACAGGGTGTTGATCCTCATGCCCACTTTACAGGTGATGAGGTAGGAAGAGGTGAGCTAGAACCCATCTGCCAAATCCTATGCCCTTGACTGTGGACTCTGAGAAACTCCCTGACCTAATCTAGGTCTGGCATCTTCCCGATGTGAGACCACTGGAATCCTTCTCAAAGAAACCACTCCAGAGTGGGCAGAGGCAGGGCGGCTCCTTCTGGGTCACTGGGCTATCCCTGTGTACAAACCCACAGCCTGGTGGCCTGCCCTAGGGTACGGGTACAGCTCAACTACCTGGCTGGGCACCCAGAGGAGAGACAGTCCTCTGTGGGTGGAGCAGATGGTAGCAAAGAGGCCACTGCCTAGTCCCTGCTGCCCAAGCCCCTCCAGGGGTGAGAGAACCTCCTCTGCTTCTCACTTGGACACTCAAGCTGAGGCAGAGGAGCAGTCTTGCATTTTGCTTTATAACTTATATTGTGCCAACCTGACTGCCTTACAAGTAGCTTCAGTGGTCTGAGGTGGTTTCCCATTACCCAAGTCCACGGAGACAGAAGCTGAGGCTCAGAAAATGCCTGCGCTGGTAAGCGGCAGAGCTGGGTCTGACCCCTGGGAACCTGTTCTCTCAACACTGAACCCAACCAGGGGTAGCCACCGTAGGTCCCACGGGTCAGGTCCCTCTTCAACAGTTACAGGCTTACGAACCCCTCCTAGGACCTCTATTTCTTCCTCTGGGTCAAGACAGAGGTCTCTTCTCTGCAGGCAGACCCTGGCAGCCACAGCCCAGGACACAGCAGCACCACACTGCCACCCCAGGGACTTCGACCTTCAGCTGACTTCCCAGAGGTACTCTGCCCCCAAGCCTCAGCCTCACCTCCGGCCACTACCTCCTCCCCTAGTCACTGTCCCCGCTTACCCTCTTCCCCCAGCCTGGTACCACCCAAGGCCCAGGTACCTCCCAGCTCCCCCGGACGGTAGGCACCGGCCCCGCCCCACGAGGAGCCCGCCTCTAGCCCCGCCCACGCCCTGCTAGCTCTTCTAGCCACGCCCCACGCCGGCCCTCGCCCCGCCCCGACCCCGCCCCAGTCCCGCCCCGCGCCGGCTCCCGCTGGGGCCATCCGGACCCTCCACCTTGAAAGACTCGAAGAAGCCGCCCCCGCCGCCGCCGTTCTCCATCTTGTCCTCGTCGCCGCCCAGGCCCATCATGGACTGGCTGTGGATGTGCAGCTCCTCGTAGAGCGTCTCTAGCAGGGCGGCGCGCGTCCGCTCCTGCGGGCCAGCATCGGGAGAGCCCGGTGACCCGCCCGTCCTCCCGCAGTTCCAATCCTGGTCCCCTCCCGAGCGCCCGCCACCTTCTCAGAGTGAGGGGGGTGCGGGGCGGGGGGGTCCTGGACCCCGGAGCTGCGCTGGCTCCCTCCTTCCCTCCACAGGTCAGGCAGCCCCCAGGACCCTCCCGTCCCAGCCCACCTGGGGCCCCGGACAGGGCCCTCCTGCTTCCTCCCACCCAGGTAGCCCCCAGGGCCAGGGTCTGAAGGAGCCTTTTCCCTCCCTGGAGCCGGCTGAGATTCTAGACTAGGAAAGGGAAGAAGGGGCTCGGCCCCCAAAGCCCATCCTCACCTCCAGTTTGGCAAACTTCTCGGCCTTGTAGCACGCGTATTCAGCATTGATCAGCTTCGTCAGCAAAAATTCCTGGAACTCAGGCCCCTGGGAGCCCCCAGTGCCGAGGAGATGGGGAAGGGGGTGGGGTGGTAAATGAACGGGAAGGGCCTGCTGAGCCCTGTGAGGCAGGGGCTGGAGCTCCTGCGCTGTGCCTGGCCTGGGTCACCCTGGGCACTCCTAGAAGGGCATCTCCTTGGCTCAGCCCCCAGCCCAGGCACTAAGGGTCATCCACCTCCTCGGGAGAGCAACCTCCACAGATTTTAGGGCCTGGGGTAACCTGGGGATGAAGCCAAGGTCTGCAGTGTGGCTTCTGAAAGGTCACAGAGACATGTGCCCTCTTCCCAAATATTTTAGAGGAAAGATTGAACTTTCAGAAAGAATAAGACTGAGGAAAGGCCAAGGTCTGCTATGAAAATGGCAGTCATATCATTTACTCCATGACCTTATCAAGATCAAGAGAAAAGCCAGATCCCAGGTGCAGGGTTAGGGTGCCCCAGCTGCCCCGGCTTCAGAACCTCATGAGGCAGAACCTGAGCCTCCCAAGACCCTCCCCTTTAGTCCTGCTCTGCACACCACAGGGCTGGGGCAGTCTCTCTCACCTTCCTAAACACCGCAGGGTCCGGAAGGGGGGGCCCAAAGAAGGGCACATCATCCCTTGCCGTGACCGAGACCTGAAAGAGAAGGGGCAGTTGTCCTTGTGGATTGGGCGGCCTGTTCCACCCCACACCAGCCAGAAGTCCCTCATTCCCTTCCCCTCCTGCCCCTGGGTGCAGGAGGCTCTGATCGCTGAGTGGAGAATCCTCTTGGCATTTCAGCTCCTCCATCCTTTGCCCTGAATTTGAGGGGTGGGGCTGGCCAGGGGACCTCAGATCATTGGGAGGAGGCTAAAGGAGGCAGAGGGCTTGGCAGCAGGCAGGAGGTGGGGGAGGGAGGAGTCTCTCTGAGGAGTGAAGGGTGTGGGGGGTCCTCCCTGGCCCCTGCCTACAGTGGGAAGGACCGAGACAGGTGTGCTGGGGGGCTGAGCTGTGGCAGGGCCCTTGCTAGTGCCCCTGGAGAGCTCTGAGACCACCCACCTTATAGAGCGGGCCATCAGGGCCCCCTCCCTCAGCCTGCACCACCACATAGGCATGCAAGAAGTTGGATGCGATCATGTCGGGCACAAAGGGCGTGTTCTCATCCTGGAAGACCACAGCGACGATGTCGTTCCCGATGTGTCTCTTCCGCTGCAACTGAGCACAGGGCCACAGGACTTACAGCCTGCCCCTGGGGGGTGGAGGTGACCAAAGGGGTGGGGGAGGGTTTGGGGTAGGCAGAGAGCACATCTTAGGATTTGCTTGCCCCCCCCCCCCGCTCAAAAATAAGTGTTGAACACTTGTCTTTGAATTATTTTAGTTCTCTTGGAAACCTGTGGCAGGTGAGAAAATCAAGACCAAGAGAGAAGTGATTTGCAAGGACCTACAATGAGCTCAGAGACCTGGATCCAAATCCTGGTTTCCAGGCCCTTCCTCTCAAATCTTCTCCTATCTAAATGCCCCCAAATGTGACCCTCCATTAAATAAACAAGTTCTACTCCACGTATATTCATGTTGCTCAAAAGAACAGATGGTCTTATGAAAAGAGAAGAAAAGAAAAAGCCACCAAGAACAGGGGAAAGTGTATTTCCATTTTTCTCAAGTACCCCTTTAGCACCCTGGGCTGGGGAAGTGGGGTAAGGCAGACGGCCTAAGGCAGCTCGGGTCAAGGTGACACATGGTGCCTGCGCCTCCTGGACTCCAGGACTTTGCAGAAGCTGGTCTGAAGCATTCCGAACTCCTGCCAGCTCCTTTGCAGCCTGTCTTGAAAGCTCTTCCTTACCCCCGGATCGGCCAGACCTCAGTGCCACCACCTGACCCCATAATGCCCCTCACTTCTCACAAAAATCCTAGCTCACCTTTTTGGCTCTTGCTATGTATCAGAACCTATCCCTATGTGTCCCTCCTCCACTCTCACCCACGAGGTCGCGCCATTACTATCCCCACTTCACAGAATGAAGTGAAGGTTTCCCAGGGCCCTCTGTTGGAGGAACTGGATGATTTCCGTGCCTGTATCCCAGGGCCCAGCACCAAGCCTGGTGTGGTAGATGCTGAACAGAGGTGGGTGGGGGCACAGGTGGACAGTGAGAGGCAGATGGCTGGGTGCCAGGCTACCTGCTGGGCGTCCCCTTCTGTGTAGGGCAGCTTGGTGGACACGTGAAACATGATCTCCTTGTTGCGGAAGTTGCAGTACACAGACTCGGTCCCCGTCTGCCCATGGGTCACGTCCAGGCCTCCTCGGAACCTGCCCCCGGGCCCCCCAGGCCACGGCTCAGTCTCAGCCCCGGCCAGGCCTCCGTGGGGCCAGGCCGGGGGCTCCCTCCCTGCCCAGATGCCTGCGTCGGCTCAGCTGCGCGAGTCCACCCCAGCACTCACCCCTTGAAGTCCTGCAGTTTGACCTTCTGACCCAGGAACTCCAGGAACTCCACGAAGGCTGGGCTCTCCTCGTTGGTACTGAAGAGTTCTTCCTCTGAGGTCTGGGAACCAACCACAGGGCCATGGTCACCGAGCTGGGTCTGAGCTGCCCCGCCCCCAGCCCCACTCACTCCCAGTGGGGGACAGTCCCCTGGCAGGTCTGAGGTGCCAGACGGAGGGCAGGGGGTGGGGGCAGATGGGAGGCACACACCTGCCCGAGCTTCTGATAAATGACTCCGAACTTGAAGTTATTGCTGATGACATGCTCATCAAAGGTGACGATGAGCCTGGAAGCCTGCAGGGCACGGGGGGGGACCGTGGTGACTGGACTGCACTTACAAGTTACCCTTCTCTGAGCAGCACGTGTCCAGCGCCACACCTGGCACCATATGTAACAGTCTCAGCAAGCCCACAGGGACCCTCAGGCTGCCCTGGGCTTCAGAGAGCTTTGGCAATGTGTCTCCAGCCAGCAGCCTGCAAGTGTGCTCCGGGATCCAGTCAGGATCCAGGACCTGGCTGCAAACAGAAGCCTCTGTCCCTATCCCCACATGGCCACAACACCTGGAACTAGCAGGCCCAGCGGGAGAGCAGCTGCTTGCACAGCAGCATCTCCACAGGTGACCATGACCCCTCTGGGGTCAGAAGTCAAGGCCAGTGGTAGTCTGGAGACCAGCTGCCCTTAGGAGGGTCCCCAGACAGCACTGAGAGTTTCCCAACATGAGTGAGACCTGCCTCGAAGGCAACCCTCGATTCAAATGAGGCCTTCCGTATCTGCTGTGCATCCTTAGGTAAGACCCAGAGCTCTCTGTGCTTTCTGTTCTGCAAACTGTGGACTTTGCAGAGAAGACACGAGGATCAAATGAGGGGACTTGAGGGAAATGGCCAGCACACAGCAGGTCCCCAATAAATGCTCAGCTCCGGGGCACCCACCCTCAGTGATCAGGGCCCAGGTCCGGTCATACCTTGGGGTAGAGCACAGGGTAGAATCGATCCACATTGACGTCTTCACACACCAGCTGCAGGAGGCAACAGGGAGGGGCGTGAGGTGTGGCCAGGCAGGAGGGAGAGGGCCTCCTGGCCTCTCTGGCCAGCTCTGGGAGGACAGCAGCAAAAGGGAGAGGGAAGGGTGTTCTGGGAACAACTGAGGCTGAAGCAGGACCAGGCTCATGGCTATTCAGAACTGGACTTGGAAACTGGGGTCCCCCGATATCTGAGCGTGCTGCGAAGACTGCCAAAAGCAGCCGGGGAGGGGCCACAGGCAGCACGAAGACCCCGCGGGAGCAGATGGGAAGCAGGAGTGCAGGGGGGCTGTGGCACTCGAAGCAGAAGCCGAGGGAGTGCTGGGGCCCAGCCGCCGCCCAGCCCTGTGTCCCCCCCGGGGCAGGGGCCAGACACGGGAGGCCTGGGAGCAGAGGCCTTACCTTTGCCATCTGGACCACGTTAGGGAACTCGGTGAGGCAGGAGATGGGGATGACATCGTGGTATGTCCGGCACTTGGTCCTGGGAGGAGAAAGCCCACGGTGAAGGGCTGGGCAGTGCAGGGAGCCCTCCAGCCTCCACACCAAGGCCAGAGAGGACAGACTTCAGGGAGGACCACAGGCAATGATGGCACCAGGCCTGGCTGGGGCACTCACTTGCTGTGTGACCTCCAGCAAATCCTGCCCTTCTCTGGGCCTCAATTAGAAGAGTGGATAAAATGAGATGGGCTCTTATAGACCCCCATCTTCCCTGCTGTCTTGGGGCCCCTCACACTGTCCTCACCTGAGCAGCAGCCGCAGGTGCTCTTGATCCCCAATGACATCATACTTGAGTGAGAAGACCAGGTGGCCGAGGGCAGTGTCCAGTGAGTAGTAGTTGAAGTGCTCCTATGGCAGGGGAAGGGGGGAGTGGGCGAGGCTGAGCTGGAAGCTTCTGGAAATCAGAAGCCAACTTGCCCCCAGAGGGGTCCCTCACCAATCGGCAAGTGTTGTGGCCAGTAGCCGGCTCCGCTTCAGACAGATCTGTCACTGGCTGGGTCACCTCACCTCTGTGCCTCACCTTCCTAATATATAAAGTGGGAGTGACGCCACCTACCTGGATCAGGTGGCAGGGACTGAAAGCGATGCCACCTGGCAAAGACACAGTGTTCGGAGCGTCTGTAGTGAGTGACTTTGGCTCTCTGGCTCCGCACCAAAGTCGGGCCACACTGCCCATGCATGCCTGTCACCGGCCCTCACCTTTCTTGGGGATGCACACAATAGGTGCTCAGTAAGAAAAAGCCAACCAGCATTAGCACGGCCCTGAGTTCCGGCCAACTAGCTGACTGCCCAACCTGCGGCTCTGTGGCTCTGTGGCCCCGGCCAGGACCCATGGGAAACAGGAAGTGGACCATCTCACAACACACATGGCAGCTGACCAGGTGGGTCCCACCCTCCTGCCTCCTGAAAAGAGGGATCGGCAGGGAAAGACACCCCAGAGGGCATGAGGGGTGGCGGCTTCGGGTGACACAGAAGGGAGCTGGCTGACGGCTCCAGGTGGAGAAGTCGGAAACCAAGAGTGTGGCAAGCTGCCAGCCCAGCCTGGCTCCCGGCTCCCTGCCAGTCCCAGCCCTGGGTGGAGCCGGCAGCCCAGCCACACCCACCCGGGCATCAACCTGGAAGTGAATCCTGTTTCTACATGAACCCTGGTGTTCAGCAGCCCGGTGGGGAAAGGGGGGCAGGGGATTGGCCCCACAGATCTGCAGTTCAGGGGCAAATGAGTGGACAGGGGCAGGGAGTCCCCCCAGCACTGCCTTGCCCTGTCCCCTGAGGAGTGGCAGGCACCTGCAGCAAGGCCAGTGGCTGGGGAGTTTCTTTGGACACCTGCCTCCCAAGCCCAGAGGAGCCCAAGGGACACAGTGAAGGATGGACTCAGGGCCAGGACAGCCATGCCCACAGTCTCCCTCACCTCCTTCCTCACACAGAACAGGCTCAGTGCCCGCACACCTGGCTGCTTCCCGGGGCACCCCATCTGGAGTCTGGAAATAGCCCTGCCTCTCTGCCAGGGCAGAGCCCTGGAGCCCCGTGCCCTGTCCTGCTGACCTAACCCCAGTCTCTGTGCCTCTGACTGCCACCCGTACCTCTTCAAGTCCTGCTGTGCTCAAGGCCCGGCACCACCATCTGCGGCTCCTCACTGCTTTGGCAACCTCTCCCGAGTGCCAACGTCTGCTCTTCCCTGGATCCCGCCTCTGCCAGACCCAGCCAAGAGCCTGTGGCGGAGGCCACCTCTGGCCGAGGCCACCTAGGGTGCAGTTCTCTCCACCCACAGGGCTCAGCTGAAGACAAATCCCTCTGCGCTCTGCATTTGTCCCAGGCGATGGCTCCTGAGCCCTGCCTGCTGGGTGGACCCTCCTCCAACCCACACAGTTAGCACCAGGGTCAGGCCGGTGTCCTGGGCCCAGGCTGAGGTCATGCAGCTTCTCAGTCCCCCCAAAGGGCCACCCCCTCCTCCCGGGGTGGAGGGTGAAGAGAAGGACACACACACACACACACACACACACACACACACACACACACACACACACGGCTAGGAGCCTGATCCTCAACAGTGCGGCAGGTCAGCCAGGGCGGCTGCAACTCTGGGCTCACTAACTGCAACCTTGACCAAGTCACTTCACCTCTCTGAGTTTCAATTTCCTCTTCTGTAAAAACAGGATGATCTTGACCTCACAGAGGGATGAGGAAGAGGTAATAACAGCTGTGGCTAATTGCTTATTTAGTATGCGACACACACGGTTCTATCTGCCTTCTCTGGCAGCACCGAGGAGTGAACCCCAGGGCAGCTCTACCACAGAGCTACCTCCCCAGCCCTTTTTATTTTGAGACAGGATCTTACTAAGTTCCCCAAGCTGGCCTCAAACTTACAGTCCTCCTGCCTCGGCCTCCCAAGGGGCTGGATTTACAGGTGTGTGCCATCACACCCGGCTCTATATGTTTTAAATGTACTTTTATTATCCCTGTTTTTATAGACAAGGAAACAGACTCCAGAAGGCTAAATAACTTGCCCAAGATGACACCATCAACAGGGGGAAGAGCCTGGGCCAGGAGGCTCCACACCTGGGGTGTGCTCTACCGTTCTGTGACCCGCATGCAGCAGCACCGCTGTGGAGCCCGACTCGCAGGAGGCCCGCGCAGGGGACCACCCCTCCGGTCCCCATGGCTCCACCCAGCAACTCTCAAGAACACCGTGAGTGACACTCTGACAAGCTCTTGCTGGCAGGGTCCCTGCTCTGCAGCTGTGGTCAATCCAGGCCCAGCCATCACGTGACACTGTCCTCCCAGCCCCACCCCAAGCTGCTCAAGGGCGGGCTGAGCCTGTTTTGTTTGCTGCCTTCTGCAAGGTGAGAGCAGCACACAGCACACAGCTGGAGCTCATTATTTGCTCACCTGAGGAGCGCTTACTTTGTTCCAGATGCCACTCAAACCACCTTATAAGCATGGTCTGTTGAAACCTCACAACAGCCTCGTGAGGTGGGTGTCATTATCCCCGTTTTTACAGACAGACTCTGAGGCACACGGAAGCTAAGCAGCTAGCCCCGTGCCTGTGCAGCAGGTGGCAGAGCCGGGGCCCACCCCCTGGTATCTCTCCTGTTAACCGCCATGTCGTCCCACCTCCTTTTGCAATAGATGTTTGTGGAATGGATGAACAACCCCACACACATGCTCCCTGAGACTCAGGACTCTGGGACTGTCGCCCAGCCCCATCACGAGGGCGCTCTTCCTGGGCCCATCCTCCCATGAGGCTGGACTGTGACAACCCCAGCCAAACCCCAATACCAGCTGGACACCCACCTTGCCGAGAAAGTGCTTCCGGTAGACGCGGGCTGTGGGGTTACACTCCAGCTTCACCTTGGTGGTGGGTGACTGCAGTGGCTCTGTCTCGGGGATGCTGGTGATTTCATGGTTGGTGCCCTCGATCCAATAGCCCCCAAACTGGGGCAGCAGGATGAGAGGGAAGGGCCCTTCTCGCCCCAGGACCTGAAGAGGGACTCAGCTGAGAGCCACCCACACAACACCTTGATGGGGGCCTCAGGACACCCCCCAGCTCAGACTTGGGCCCCTTCTGTCATGGCAAAGGAATACTACGGACCGGCCAGAGCTGGGTGGACTCCAGGGTGCACATCCACTCTCTCTGGGTACCTGCTCCAGCCCTTTCCCTCCCCGACCCCACAGCACCGAGCCCTCTGTCCCAGACTCAAAGGATGGGAGTTGGGGGCAGGTAGGAGAGGGGGACACATGGCTTTGACCCAGGAGGTGAAACGTCTGGCTCAGAAGCCTACGGAGCCCTTCCCCCAACGTCTCGGGCCTGTTCACTGAGCAGCCCAGCAGAGCCTGCAGCCAGGCCCCTGGGAGGGAGGACCTGGTGTCCAGACGCCCTTCACAAAGGCCTCCCTGGACTGGGGAAGGGTGGCTTCGGGGTCCCGCCAGGTACCTCATGGACGCTCGGGTAGGGAATATAGTCCTCCTCTGTCTGCAAAAGACAAGCGGGGGAGAGGCATGGCTGGGTGGTGTCCCCACCCTCCTCGCCTCCCAGGCTCCCTGGGACCATGGCCTCATCCCCCAGCTTACAGAGGGGGCAGTGACTTGCCCGGGGGGACCCTACAAGGCCAGCTCAGAGGCAGGCCAGGCTGAGTGCTGGGTCTTCTGGGTTCACTCTGCCTGGGGAAAGGAGGCTCTTGCCTCCCGGAGGAGGACTCTGGGCCACCAGGAGGCCTGGAAGACACAGGGTGCTGCGCCTCACACCAGTTCTTGGTGCAGCCAGGCAGGTGGCACCCGGGGACTGGCATCCCCATGCTCCCAGATGACCGGAGGCCGCTGATCTGAGCACCATACTCTGAGACCCCTGGACCTGAAGAGGCAGCTGGCTTGCTGCCCAGGAGCCTGCTTAGCTCTGGGCCCACGCCCCCAAGCCCAGCTGTGTCTTCTAGGGCCATTCAGTCCTCTAGGGTTGATGGGTCCCACATCACCAAGAGCCAAGGCCCCTCCTGGGCGGGTCTTTCTGCAGCTGCGGACGGAAGAGGGTCAGGGAAGCTGCCTGGAGGGGCGACCAAGGGCAGCAGGGCGGTGGGCAGGGAGGAGCTCCAGGACTCAGAGCTCTTGGGGCAGTGGCCACCCAGGGCCCAGCACAAGGCACACAGTAAGACCCTTCGCAACTGGGTGGCTGTGGCGCCACATGGAGCCCTTCCCCCAGCCCGCAGCGGGGACCTCTGCTGACCTCTGCTGCAGAGGTCAGGCTGCTTCACCTACTTTGAGGGGTGGCGGGAAGGAGCATCGCTGTTCATCCATCCTGCTTCCCTGAAAGACAAGGCATCACCCATTACACCCCCACCTGCTGCCAGGCGCCCTTCCATGTGTGGAAGGCTCGCTCTCCTGCGCTCCTGCCCCTGTGGAAGGGAAGCCCTGGGAGAGCCCTGGACGTGGGGAGCAGGACGGGCACTCCCAGGGTAGGGTGCTGGCCAGCTCATGCCTCAGGCCCCTCTGAAGAGCCAGCGCAGCAGGGAGGGGCGGGGGCTCTGTTCAGGAATGCACGTGCTGCTGGGAGTGGGGGCAGGGGTGCGTGCGCAGGCCCATGTGTGAGCGTGGGGAGGGGGCCACTGCATCATCCAGAGGGGGAGGAGGTAGAGACGGAGAGAGGCAGGAAAGAGCAGGGCTGGGGAGGGTGAGCTGATGTCAGGCAAGGCTCCTGAGGCTTCTGTGAGCCACCCCCACGCCACCACCCTCCCACCCATCTCCCCCGACACACGCCCACACAAGACACAGACGAGGGCCTGGGAGACCAGGACTGGACGAGGGTGGCAGGGGTGCGGCAGGGGTAGAGCTGCTCCCCAGGCTGCCCGGATCCTTAACAGCTCCCCCACAGCAGCGCAGCTCTGGCTGACAGGCACCCTGGCATCTGTCCCCTCCGTCATTCTGCCTGGGGTCCAGCCCAGCTGTGATGCCTCTTATGGGGTGAGGGTGAGCTGAGCTGATGCAGCCCTGCAGGGGACCTACACAGGGAAGGGAGCTGGGAGCCTGGGTGGGTCCTCAGAGAGGTCCCCTCTTCCACGGGACCCCCAGACAGGACTCTGGACAAAAACTGCCACCATCTTCTCCTGACATGGTCTATCGAAGACTCCTGGCCTGTCCTCAGAAAGAGGTAGGGCTAGAAATACTGAAAGGGCCCCCACTTCCAGCCCAGCCAGCTCGGTGGCTCCAAGGGCAGGCGTCTCCAGCGTCCTCACCTGCATCTTTTCAATCATCTCAAACAGATCTGTGTTCTGCAACAGAGACGGGAAGGCAGGTCAGTCCCGAGGTGGCCCAGCTGGCCCTGTCAACCCCAGGAGTCTCCCCAACCCCAGCCTTCCTGATCCCCTCAGTTCTGACCAGCCATCAGGGCTCGAGGCAGCAAGACGGGGTGCAGCAGGCATCACAGGAGGGGGCTGCCGCACAGGACTTGGCCAACTGCCAATGGAGGTGAGCCCACACCCAGGTCCTGGGTCCCAGGGAGCCCACCCCACTCAGTCCTTTTTCCTAGGGAGGAGGCCGTGACCCTTGGGGAGGGACAGATCCCCTTCATGCCATTGCAAGGTTGGCACTGCCAGGACAGGCCCCTGAGAAATGCCCCTGGTGCCAGCCCCAGAGATGAGCCCAGGTGGAATGAGAAGGAAGGGCCATGATTCCGTCTCCAGGAAGAGGACAGTCAACCCAGGCCACCGGCCGCCGCTCACACAACCCAACAATGTGGGGTGGGGGCCCTGCTGCAGAGGATGCTGAGGTGCCCGATGGCCTCACACCTGTGCCTGAGCCCACTGGCGCCCTCTCATGCCCAAGCCAGCCTGTCCTGAAGCTAGCCAGGGTACACGCAGGGTTAATCCGCATCTGCCAGCTGCCTGGCAGCATGGGCCTCTCCAGCGCCAACTCCCTGAGAACCTTCCTGGAAGGCGGCAAGGATGCCCAGTGGCGGCTGGCAGGGCTGGGGCTGGGGCTGGAAAACCCCTAGAGTCTCTGGTGGTGCCCCTCCCCCAACCCTTCCAAGGCTCCAACAGTTCCTGCTGCCCAGTGGGGGCACTGCCTGAGCTCACACACCCATGCTATGGGGTTGTACAACAGGAAATATATGCACACGTGCACACATACACACAATCTCTCCCTCTCCTGCTCAGACTCACAGAGCTTGACACCAATACTTATTCTCCCAGCACACTACATGTTTTATGCACACACACACACACACACATGGTGTCTAGGTACAGTGATTCTTAGAGCTCTATATGAACACACAAATACACATATTGACATCCTGAGTTACACAACAGCACACCAATTTACACACACACACACACAAATCCACGGACCACAAGACTAGAGCAAACCAGACTAGAGCAAACCCACACCTGTGAGTTCTGCACCCTGTACCGCACGTGACGCAGCATGAACATCACAAAACCACCCTCCTGAGACCAAGACACAGTGACATGCACTCTGGGGGACAGGTTGTCAGGGACACAGAGTCCCCTTTCCCCATCTGGCCACACACGCTGTGCAATAGACACAACAGACCCCATCCCACAACAGGCACGAGAGTTCTGAGCAAAGGAGGCTGCACAGGGGCAACTCCAAGGTCATTAATGTCCACAGGAGGGACAAAGCCCTGCATCCCCCATCCACCCAAGTCACCTCCCTCCTCCCATGTACACACACACACACACACACACACACACACACACTGCGCTAAAGGTCACGAGACACAAACACCGCATGTGCAAGCTCTGAAGCCTGCCCACAGAACAAGACATCTTCTGAAGTCCACCTCGGGAGTCCCCAGGAGACCCACCTCATGGTCACACAGCCACACCCAAGACCTGAGTGGAGAAGAGATGATTCCATGGGCAGTTACCAGACACGCCTGTCAACTCCACACTCTTTGGGACAGCAACACTGGCACCTGGGCAGAGTCAGACAACCTCCCATTCCCCCGTGGTTCCAGCAGTTGGGGGCACTTTAATGACCTCCAGAGACCCCACTCAGGGTGACCTAACAGGTAGGACAATGAAATGCAATGCCTTGTTGCACTAACGAGAATCACTCCCATAAACACTGACACATGGTCCTGTCACCCTGAGTGTACACAGCAACAAGTGACACCTACAGTTACAGCCGCACAGGCAGCAGCAGCAGCAGACGCCCTGACACATGGCAATGGAAGGCTGGGAATGATGTGGCCCGGAAGGGGGTCCCCACCTCACTTGAGCACCACCACAAAGTTACACTCTGACATTAGGATCCCCAAACCTGGCAGGGAAGACATAAAGTGGCCCCGATGGCAGGACTCACACGCAGTGCCACTGTACCCCGGGGCCACAGTTTCGGGGGTAGCAGCAGGAAGAACCCCAGGCCCAGACCCCTGAGCGGGGTGCGCCCTTGGCCGCCGTGGCCGGTGTCAGCCCAGAAGCTAACACACCCGCCCTGCCTCGGGCACAGCTGCCGCGCTCCAGAGAAGTCGGGCCGACTCGGCCCGGGATCCCCCTCCGCCGGGACGCCCCCGCCCGGTCCTCACCCTTGGTTTCCCCTTTGCTCCTAGTGGCCGCTGCT